TTACGGTTTTGTCTTAGGTGTTTTTGGCAATGTAATCTTCTACAGAATAAAAAAAAAAGGATAATTAGTGCTATATTGAAAACATTAGTACTTTTCTTGTAAAAAACAACAACAAAAAAAACACACTTTTCTGTATAGAAAGGTAAAAAAAAAAGGTTTTAAAAATACTCAAAAGTGTAAAAAAGTAATTCAGATTATTCACTAGCAATTCTGTTTTCTTATTTCTTGGTGTAGTTCGAAGATAGTCTTGTGGTCGGACGTGCTGAATGGAAAGGCAAGAAGATGCATTCTAATAGTCTTTTGGGACATTGACGTATACAAGTGTACCAAAGGAGTTTTTAAAAAAATGTGACTAAATTTTTCTTTTCAGAAACGAAACTAATAAAGAAACGTTTGTTGATGTGATTGGTGTTAGTATAGTTCCATGATTGGTGTTAGTATAGTTCCATGATTGGTGTTAGTATAGTTCCATGATTGGTGTTAGTATAGTTCCATGATTGGTGTTAGTATAGTTCCATGATTGGTGTTAGTATAGTTCCATGATTGGTGTTAGTATAGTTCCATGATTGGTGTTAGTATAGTTCCATGATTGGTGTTAGTATAGTTCCATGATAGGTGTTAGTATAGTTCCATGATTGGTGTTAGTATAGTTCCATGATTGGTGTTAGTATAGTTCCATGATTGGTGTTAGTATAGTTCCATGATTGGTGTTAGTATAGTTCCATGATTGGTGTTAGTATAGTTCCATGATTGGTGTTAGTATAGTTCCATGATTGGTGCAGGTCTAGAAATTGTACATAAATTAGATATGTATTGGGGTCACTTTCGGATCTAAAGGTATTGATAAAGCAATGAAACAATTTATTTGTGTGTAGGCACATGTGGGGCCCGACCATAACTGAACTCTTGACCTCCGTCACTATTTTCCACGTTGTGACATATTTTGTCCCATTTCTACATTCGACCCTTTATATGATTCAACTTCAATAAATATTTGTGTTGGTAATCAGAAAACGTTACTTTTGGTACAGAATTATAGGATAATGCATGCGTTTAAGTTTATAATGCCAAAAATTAATTAAATATAATGGGGTTAAATCAACGATGATATCGTTAATTAGGAGAGAAAGAGTTAATCCAATTTTAAAATAATTATGAATAATCTCAATGACATTAAGTAGACGTCTACACATGTATAATGGATGTCAACAGTCAAGAACTGTAGTATTAAACAAAAAAAATCCGAGGACAGTGCCAGGTGGAAAAACATAAGGAACACCCCACACACGCGCGCACATGCGTTAATGGGTGTATTATAGCAAGGCTCCACACTTCCCACATACACTCAATGCAGTCGAGGACAGAGATAGCAAAAAGTCAACAATGATGCCCCAAAGGAAATGCCATGGCCTTTCAGACATTTGAACAGTGTAATAAAAGATTGATCTAATTGTGAATCGGTCTAACATTTCTGAATGGTTTGGACATGTTCTAGCCGTGTAATAGAAGAATGCTCTCATGGTCAATAGTTCTGACATTTAGCGCTGCGACAACGAAAGACCTATTTGATTTTGTCTGAGTAAGTCAACATCATTGTGCAGTAGAACAAGTGCGACATAAGAGACACATATCCCTAACATAACAAGTTAAATTCAACATATTACAAGACAATGAAGTCTATGGCGTCACGTTAGCAGAAAGTACAAATGTCAGAAATGTCCTACAAATGGGGGGGGGGGGGTCACCGAGAGTGGACCCAAATATTTAGACTTGGTGTTTACTTAAGTTGAACAAGAGGAGAACAAAAGTGTGTGGGTGACTGGGTGTACATGTGTGTGTACATGTGAGTGTGTGTGGTAGATTGATTGAAAGAGGACATAGTTCTTGTATTTTAATATGAAGTAATACAACAACAAATGGAGAGCACTCTACGGAACCAAAATATTGAAAATTAAAACATCAACAAAAAAACACAACATGTTGGCCAAGAAGTTCACGTCAAGACAGGGATGGGTGGACTTATGAATAAGTGAAGCACAATGTCAAGGACATAAGGGGAGGGGCACCATGACACAACGCTGAAACAATATGGAGCCAACGAAATGTTTAAAATTTCATTTCCGACCATTGGTTTCACCACACTACTTTGAACTTCAAACACATTTATATTTTTGTATTACACTTCTGTGTATCTCATATTTACTGCTTCACAACCCACTAGTCGCATTCCTTTGTCTTATTTCTTGAATGTATTTTGTTTTTGGAGTTAGGGCTCTAGGGAGCGTTGTTCTCTTGTCATTCTTGTTCTAGTGGGAGACCTTTCACACAGGCTGCAGGACACACATTGGAGACCTTTCACACAGGCTGCGGGACACACATTGGAGACCTTTCACACAGGCTGCGGGACACACAGTGGAGACCTTTCACACAGGCTGCGGGACACACATTGGAGACCTTTCACACAGGCTGCGGGACACACATTGAAAACCTTTCACATAGGCTGCGGGACACACATTGAAGACCTTTCACATAGGCTGCGGGACACACATTGGAGACCTTTCACAAAGGCTGCGGGACACACATTGGAGACCTTTCACATATAGGCTGCGGGACACACATTGGAGATTTTTCACACAGGCTGAGGGACACACATTGGAGACCTTTCACAGAGGCTGCGGGACACACAGTGGAGACCTTTCACAGAGACTGCGGGACACACATTGGAGACCTTTCACACAGGCTGAGGGACACACATTGGAGACCTTTCACATAGGCTGCGGGACACACAGTGGAGACCTTTCACAGAGACTGCGGGACACACATTGGAGACCTTTCACACAGGCTGCGGGACACACATTGAAGACCTTTCACATAGGCTGCGGGACACACATTGAAGACCTTTCACATAGGCTGCGGGACACACATTGGAGACCTTTCACACAGGCTGCGGGACACACATTGAAAACCTTTCACATAGGCTGCGGGACACACATCGGAGACCTTTCACAAAGGCTGGGCGACACACATTGGAGACCTTTCACATAGGCTGCGGGACACACATTGGAGATTTTTCACACAGGCTGAGGGACACACATTGGAGACCTTTCACAGAGGCTGCGGGACACACAGTGGAGACCTTTCACAGAGACTGCGGGACACACTCAGACCTCGTTCAAGAGAGGTGCAGAAGACGAAAAGAAAACTGAAATAGACCTAAAGCGGACAACGGCTTGGTATGCATGAGATGCGGAAAAATATGCAGGTCGCATGTGGGTTTGCGTAGTCATGTGAAACACTGCACTCATTAGTAATCTTCGAAATCGAAGACATTGCCATTATTATTATTATTATGTTAGAAACGAACGAGCATTCATTCTCTGGCGCTGCCAGGGTCGAGTTTCGTTAAAGGGAAACAAAATTCATTGCAGTGATGGTGATGTGGCAGGTCTGCAGCAGTACCGTCCACTGAGAGAATGTTCCTAAAAATGTTATTGTTATTATTATTATAAAAGAACAAGTATTCATTCTCTGGTGAAGTCAGGGTTGAGTTTCGTTAAAGGGAAACAAAATTCATCGTAGTCCCTTTATTATTATTATTATTGTCATTACCTGTATATCTTTAAAATAAGGTGGCAAGATAAGATAACCAATGAGGAAGTGCTACAAAGAGCAGGGTGCCAGGACATCCGCTCTGTTATCAGCAGCAGACGCCTTGGCCTGCTTGGCCACGTTCGTAGAATGCCAGAAGGTCGACTTCCACAGGACATCCTGTATGGCGATCTAATAGAAGGCAGGAGAGCCGCTGGTCGCCCACTATTACGTTATACGGATGTATGCAAACGGGACATGAAGCTCTTCAAAATCGACACTGGCAACTGGGAAGAGGTAGCACTGGACAGATCCTCATGGAGAGAGAGCATAAAGGAAGGGTCAAAGATTGCAGATGTCATACACAACAGAAGCAGAAAGAAGGGTGAAAATGCAACGGCGCCTGGTGATTATATATGCCCAACCTGCGATCGCAGCTGTGTATCAAGGATTGGCCTCTTTAGTCACACAAGAAGCTGCAAAGGGAAAAGATCGTCTCTCGAGACGTAAAATGCCACAGACCTGTATATATAATTTTCTACGTCGCCCAGCCACGCGGGACACCACGCACGCACGCACGCCGACTCTCTAACCCTCTTCCCGCCCCTCACGCCCGTACCCGCGCCTTCCTCGTTCTCTAGGCATGCGCACACAGTCGTTTGCCCAAACCCACCCCATTTGGACAACAGTGTCTTTCAGGAAGTGTTCACCCGATACTAAATAGCGGGTCGACTAGTTATTATAATAATAATTATTATTATTAATATGATAAGAATGGACAACCACCCTTAACAGCATGAAAAAAAAATCAAGTATTCATCAATCAGGAAGATCTGTATAATCCGCTAGCCAACCAAAATCACTATTAAGGAACTTCGGCCAAGAATAAAGCAGCAGCCCATTGAAGAATATATCCTTCAGAAACGGTGACGATGGATTCGCGTTTCAAAAGCCTGCATCCAACACACAAGACAAGCCCTTGCCTGTGGGGTGGCCCAGAAATACATGGCGCCAAGATTTGGATGCAGATACCAATAGATAGGCAAGACGTGTGGGGACAGTTGGAGTGACTCGCCCAGAACAGAGACCCCTGGAGGAAGCTGGTTATGGCCAATGCCCCAGGTGGGACCAAAAACTGAGATGAGATGTTCTAGCAAAGTTAACTTTCCACAACAACAGATCTAATGTAAATACACGTGTGTATCCTTTCCTAAACATTTCATAATCGCTATTGAACATTTCAAAGTTATAAATCCAAGTCTATGATAAATGCATGTAGACATAGATCTAATAGTCTAATTTGTTAATAGGTGCAGTAACTCATGGAGCTGTCATATATAAATATTGTAACTCCTATTGTAGTCTAAGCAGATCTTTATGAAATAGTAGTTACAAGTTTAATAGCTGTTAGCTCCTCGGTAGTATAGTGGTAAGTTTCCCCGCCTGTCACGTGGGAGACCGGGGTTCGATTCCCCGACGGGAAGACCATTTTTTTAAAAATATTCTTAATAGGCTTCCTTTATTTCAAAATGCATTGGATCCATCATTTTTGTTTCGCTATAAAAATCAATCGTCCAATATAAAACTAGATGACATTCATGCTCTCGCTTAGGCCTACTGTCGTGCTCAGTGGCCTAACGGTTTGGAAGGTACCCGGTACATAATATGCATTCATTTAAAAAAAATAAAAACATATACTGTTTAATTTATTGATATCAAATTTGAATGATGCAATGTATCACGGAGCGAGTGTTTTGTCATAATTTGGTTTCAATCCGGAAGTAGCCCTAGTTATTTCTATTAGTCAACTGAAGTGTTCATTTGTCAATCTATTTCTGACACAGCTTTTTCTAGAGAAGAAAAAATAAATTTGCTCTCAAATATACGAAGATGCTAGCATGGCCAAAAGTCTCGACAAGCCGCAGTAGAAGTCTAATTTTGGAACATTTAGAACTAATTGTTTGAGATGATCATTAGACTGAAGATCAATTAAACCACAATGTATTTCTGCTTTCACTTCTACGTGGGGCTCATTACAAGTATATAGAAAATATCTCAATCTATTTAATAGCATGAAATGTTCTTTCAGATTTGCCATGAAGTTTCCTCTTAAGCTTGTCTATTAAAGTTATTTACTTTGGATGCTAACTGTGATGTCAAATTTGTATATATTGATTCGATTATATAATGGTACATTTTATACTTTTCCAAGCTCAACTTGAAGACTTTAATTCGATTTTGTGTTTTCTTATCTAGAATAAAACTTCGCAAACTTGAATCATAAATTGTTCAACAAACTTTAAATCACAAATAAAGGGGTGGGGGGGGGGGGGCATGCACACGATTAGCATCTCTTTCGTCACGCTTCTGTCACACACTAAAACGACCAATCTATATATCGGTATATATATATATATATATTTAAAAAAGTAAAATAAGTAAAAAAGTAAAAAAAAAAAAAAGAAAAACATAGAAGTGTGGTCCAAAAATGTTTCCACAACAACAGATTGCTCACAACTAAAGGAGCTAACTGCCAGATACTGCGCAATAAGGTTTTTTTTTTTAAAAAAAAAAGCCAAGGTTCTCCTTAAATTGGCCCAAAGTTCGTCAAACATGTAGCAGACTATAGCAGTATAGCTAGTTCGAAACTACCGAGAGAGCTCTAGTGACTTCTGCTGAAACAAGGTCACGTGTAGAAAAACGTGACTGGAGCCTCTTTTTTTTTTTTTTAAACTGAGTGTATGTGTAGTTCGTGTATGTGTGTATGTGTGAGCGCGCTCTCGCTTCAAAAACTCTAAAGACGTTCTCTTCCCCTCTAATGACTAATCCAACATGTTTTATTCCAGTGAACCTAGATAGTGAATAATGGGCAAATATGCAGTTTCATTTCTCTTCTTGACACTATGGTTCTAACAACGGAAGATGTTATAATTACGTTGCCTTGCACGGGTACTAGAAAGAAGAGCAGTTATTGTTAGCGCGAAATTTTCTAATCTTATTAAAAGTTTTAAGTTAATCGGATCAACTAGTTAATCCAGATCAAGATTTACGAGTCCTAGAAGGGTGACCCTTTAACCCCGAAACTAAATGTCGTTATTGAGATGTTGATAGTTCATTAACGACACTGTCTACGCTTTCGGTTATTGCTTGGCTTAGCCCACTTCATTTATGCAAAAAAGATCTGAGACCTTATTCCCAGTGGTTAGTCATTTTCTCAGTTTAATTCACTCTTGCTTTTGTTCAGCCAGGCTATATCGAGTTACTTTGTGTTCAAACAGGCAACATCGCAATACTTTGTGTTCAGATCCTTAAAATAATTTGTTTTGCCAGTGTTTTTATCGCAGATTATTTTTCAATGATCTGGGACAGTCTGGCTATTAGCCTTTTGATTTGACTATTTTGAGTAACATGTTTAGAAATTATCTCTATCTAAACAAAAATCGGGCTAAGGTTATTAAGAAAATCAATTGGTCAAGACTCTAATATTAAATAGAATATAAGCAAGTATTACGATTCCAGTGTGCGGTATATTTTATTGCTGATACTTTACAAACCTTTGTTGAAATACATTAGAAATGAAAATGTCGCTCTCGGAACTTTCATTCTTTGGAAATGAGCATGCCTGTATTCGATTGTTCTGAGGTTATAGATCCAATACTTTGAAAGTGACTACAGCTTCAAAATTATGTAACAAAAGAAAAGAATATTGAAATTCTGGGTATTTTAAAAAGTGACATAAAACACAAACTTGAAAACTAATCATGTCATAACGCTTATCTAGAGAGAGAGAGAGAGAGAGAGAGAGAGAGGATGATGCAAAAGAAGTTACAGATCTTAAAGTCCAGAGACTAATAGATAACAAAAATATTTGGGAAAACGAATGATCTTACCACAAAACTGAAACTAGAATGAGAAACAGGTAGAAAAAAAAAAGACAGATGACCAATCAGGTTTCTTTTATCAAAAGACCTTGTGAGAATGTTGGATGACCTCTGATCATATTATGAGCGAGTTCCGATTCAAACAAAGTGAAGAATATCCATTTTGGCTGAGCCTAGCATCTAGAACCACCACGCTGGTGTCCAGTATGTAGACAAGCAGCAAAATGAAAGAGAGACAGAAAAGAGGGGGGGGGGGGGGGGGAGAGGAAGACGAAGTGTCAAGAACATTTCAGTGGAGTTATGGCCCCCCCCCCCCCCCCATTTGTCAGCTCCTCTTTTGTTTTTTTAAAGATCTAATTTTAAAATCTACAAGCTAGTAAAACAAAAAGGGAAAGATAAAAGATCTGGTCAGAGACGCTTTATTTGAGGTGACACTCAGGGGCTCAAAAGGGAAAACAAAAAAAATATGCTGCAGAGAAGGACCACATTCTTACTTAGACTTAGGTCTCACCACAGCGACTTCCACGGCCTCTTCTCTGTTTGTGACCACATAGTTTAGGCCTTCTAAGAAGCTATGCCATTTTCATCTGACTACATTTGTCTACCAAACTGGACTAGCCCTTTGATTTCAAACAGGAAACTATTTCAAAAACTGGAGCGCAGTTTTAAAAAAAAAGGTAGCTTCCCTCCCACACCCCTCTTTTCATTTCATTTTGCACGTGGACGCAGGTAGTTACATTTCTCGTCAAATGTTTTCAAGGTAACACACACACACACCAAAATACACTTGTTCATGCATACTTATTGATTGACGTGCATGCAAATCTTTTATCTCGCACCTCTCCCGCCCCATGGCATTAATTTGCCACGCTTCAAAAACGTATCTGAAGATCACACGTGACCTAGATTTCTGAGAGAAAAGTCATTTGTGGAAAATTTTCAGACAGTGGAAACTTTCTCTTCCTCAACCTCTGTCATGGACGTTGAATTGTCAAAGTTACTTTCTTCACTGACCTATGTGGTCATCTCACGTCATTCGTTGTCATAACCGTCACAAGTTTTACTGCTGAGAAAGAAGTTTTAAAAGGTGGATTAGAAACAAAAACGTATTAGATTTAGATGCGTAGTATGCCTGCCCTATATCATTCTTCCACAAAGTGAAAAGCTGAACTCTTTGTTAATAGAATCTGCTCGTCATTTGGTTGTAAAAGTCTTGTTGAATACAACAATGAACAATATGTGTTTTTGTTTTTGTTTAAAGTTCTAGTCTTCTTTTTTTGTTTACGTATTGTTGCTCTGACACATTTCTAGTTTGCAACAGAGAACTGCTTTGCCGAAGGCAGAATACCGCAAGAGGTTCTTGAAAAGATGAAAGAGTAACATGGAACCTGAAAAACTGAAAGCAGATCCGTCCCGTGTTATAACATGGCGTCACGCCTTCTTAGAAGACGCCTAAAACAAAACAAAAAAAAAAACGTGGGCACCACAGATGGGAAGAGACTTTGAACGTCGCTGATGACCGATCACTGTGGGTAGGAAGATCTAAACCTGCGTCATGTATCATTTGTTCTTTGTTCTGTTAGCAGCTGAAGCCTCGTAAATCCAGATCTATATTCCAAGTGACACTGGTTTAGCTGCTTATCTCTCTGCTACCTCACTGACACTAGAGCACCACTACAAGTCACTGACACTAGTGCACCACAAGTCACTGACACTAGTGCTCCACAAGTCACTGACACTAGTGCTCCACAAGTCACTGACACTAGTGCACAACAAGTCACTGACACTAGTGCACCACAAGTCACTTGTACTAGTGAGAGCACTAGAGACTCACAACAAGTCACTGATACTAGTGCACCACAAGTCACTTGTACTAGTGAGAGCACTAGTGTTACGTATCTAGGCATTGTTACCTAGATACTATTTTTTTTCTTGACCTGTAGGTTGTCTGCCCCTTGTGTAATAAGTTTTTTTTTATTTTATTTTTCACGGTGAGTCAAGCCACACAGACAGTGACCGGTCCTTGACCTATGTGTGTACCTCTGGTTGAAAGGAGGGTGGTTTTTTTTTTTCTTCTGTCTCTTTAAAGAGCGTTCTAGATCTGGGTGTTGATGACTTATTCTGTTCTAGAAATTACTAGATTTGTCTTGATATCGACGCGCGGTATATTATATAAAGACCGCCCGTGTAACGTTGACAGACAGACATACGGAGACAGCCGTGAGACAGAATAGCGGAGACATTGCGTGACCCGTGCGTGGTATACCAATTGATCGTGTAAGTTAAGATTTTTCTTTTTCAAGGCCTTGCTTGTATTTGTAATTATATTTTCAAACTATTGTATTGTAATATTTTTACATGCCATTTTTGTAAAAGGGTTTTGGTCAACCCTTCCATTTTGTATTGAGTAAATGTTTTTTTTTTCTTGCTTTATGTGATTCAGTTAAAAGTACTATTCGAGTTATATTTTATTAAACCTTAAGTTGATATTTTACCTTCCGATTTCTTGTGTCATTTTTTTTTGTTATTCATTGTAAGTCTTTGATTAAATTCAGACTTAAGATAAGTGACACAACTACCTTTTTCTATTGTCACGTTCCCCT